CCTCTCTGTGTTTTGTTTGGATTCTTGTAATTCGGTCATCTTGAAATACTAATATTACGATTACAATAAATTACTATATCCTTCGTCTTCTTACAACTTGTACACGTCTCAACCATTCGCGCCTTCGAGTTGCCCGCCAATGGCTAACAAGGTCAATGAACCAACATTCAATGTTCATATTCCTTGACAGAGGGGTGAAACGTAATTACAGAATTCAAGATAAGTCAATTCTCAGGCGTTAGCGACAAATTATTACTTCGATACATTTGTAAAAGAGCAATGATCACTAAGAAGAATAGGATGATTCAGAAGAATTACGTAAAATACAAACAAGTTAATAGAATTAGCCAGAATTGTAAACATTGAAAAAGATAGTTACAAGGCTAGAGGAGAAAATCGCTTCTTAAAAGCTTGCAACATTGGTAGAAAGCAATTTACGTCAATGTTGGCGTCCCAAATCGGGGTCATGCAAAGAAACAAGAACAAAGCACAACCTTGAAGGGCTCAACAACCAATCACGCTGACTTTGTTTGTGTAGGCGGATACAATTCGCAGATAGATGATCTAACCCTCAAGAAACAGCCACAAAGAGATCAGAGAATAACTTTTACTAGGAAGCAACCAGCAATCAGAAGACTGTGTTTGTCTACTAACAATAATCTATAATAATGTACATGAAAATCTATAAATATGTGTTAATTTCCTTAATAGACGATCTGTTGCCTGGCCGTTGTCATCTGTAATTACAGTAGTAGTAGTAGTAGTGTAAGAGCAGAAGGCAAGTGACGGAAGCCGAGGTATATTTTCAAGTGATCAAACAGCTATTTTTATTTATAGCTATACAGTTAATGTTCGTTAACCAATCAGTTACTGAGCGTGCCATTTCAGTTTACATTAAACGACATGAAATAGAATGTTCAAATATACACATAGTATTATTCTGTTGCTAATGCAGTGGGAATTGAACTGTGGGAATATTCGGGAATCATATTCCATCGGCACACATTGTGTGTGCGTAGTAGGAGTAGTAGTCTGATTGTTAGAACTGACAAACAAGCATCTCTGTCACCCACCCGTGACGACGCCATGATTTATGCATGTACTGACATGATAACCTGATTGATTGATTGATTGAACAGTTTTCATTCATTTATCTGTGAGACTTCGATGTCACACAACTAATCACATGCTTCATCATCTACTTATCGATGAAATTCATCAAATTTTGTAAATATAAACTGACACCACCTATTTTGTCTAGTGAAGGCTGTCGGTGTCACTCAGGTCGTCGTTCTTCCAGTCTGACTTTCGTATCTGTCTAACTCGATGTGGGCAAAACTTCACACTGACCGGTTGGTTGTAGCTTCCTGTTGTGGAGGCGCATTCTAGTCAAGTTGGACGAACCACCCACGAACCAGTAAGTATTATTACGACGTACGTAACACTGGGATTTATACTAGTTTACTACTTTATTCCATCTTTCTCCCACAGCTCCCACCACACTGAAAAATACCAGAACAACACTGAACAAAACTGACTGATCAACTCGCCCTCCAATTCCTCTTCTTCTTCTTCTCTCGGGCATACTCGATCAATCAATCAACCTCCAGTCAATGTAAAGACGAAAACAAAAGGGGAAGCAACAACAATATAGAAAAGACTAAAACGATGCGGCTTGTGTTGTAATGGGTCAAGGCAAAACACATCAACGGATCAAGGCATTCACTTCATTTTTGGGAACAGAAAATTAACAATAAAAAGTCTCAAATATTTTTTCAGAAAAAAATATACACATCATCTATGTTGTTTATTAACTTTGTTCAATCGGTTCAAATTCAGATGGAGTTTCAATGCACATGCATATATTCAAAACAAAATATTTAGAGGGAACAATTGTGGTTTCAATAGATTCTTCTTCTTTAGGCTCTACAATTATGAATCCCGCTGACATTCCTAAATGTCGACTTAATAGAGTAGTAGATAGGACATTTCCTGCAGCTAAACTCGTACTCAACTTCTCAACTAAACCAGTACTCACACAGCAAGTCAAGGATAAATTACCAAAGATGGCCTCATCAATGTGTATCTATGAATTCAACTGCTCATTTGGAGCTAGTTACATTGGCCTTACTCAGAGGGCTTTATCCATGCGCAAGCGTCAACATGTACCTGTATGGTTGAGTAAAGGGATAACCACCAAATGCGTAAATAGTGCAGTCTTAGCCCACATGGTAGATACTGGACACTCGATAGAACTTGACCAGGCGTTCTCAGTTACTTACCGCGTTCCTAGTAATTTATCCAGAGAGGCTCGACTACGTCTTCTATCAGTAGCTGAAGCAGTTGCAATTGATACCAGAAGACCATCTTTTTGCACACAGAAGAAGTATGTTCAACCTCTGTGTTTACCTTGGCCTACAATAAAGCCAACAAATCCTCAAAAACATTAACACTATAACTTCCTTTCACAGTTTTCTTTTATTTTCTTCTTCTTCTATTTCTTTGTTTCATTGACAAACCTTCATTTTCGACTTTTATGATTTCATGACCTTTCTTATGACTTTATCACCTTAGGTTTAAGTAGTGCTTTTTCTAACTTGTTATCGTATTTACAAAATCCTGTTCATTCCACTTCATTATATTCACTATTATTATTTGACAATCATTCACCAATAGTAATTGTTATTTTACACCATATCATCGTTATTATTTTACAATCATTCTTAATGTCGTTATTTTCAACCTCGAACTTATGTCTATTCCGCCCCTTTCGTTGGTTTATTTTCATATTGTCTCTCAGACACCCTGATTACACTCAACCTCGAAACCCGTATTTTCTGTTGACTATAAACATATATATATATATATATATATATATATAAATATATTTAATTTAATTTTTCCCATGTTCTTATTGACCATGCATATTAAAAAACTAACTGACTTTTGTTCCATCATCCCATCTCACTTATACTTGTTCCACAATACACTTTCCGATATGATTCTAATTTGCCTTTCCTAACTGGCTGGCTATTGTATGCTTAAATTAATTAATGGATTCATAATTGCAGAGTCTGAAGAAGAAGAATTTATTGAAACTACAATTTCCCACTCTTACTCTATTTTGTTCTGAATAAATTATGGGAATATTCAATTTACATACATATACATGTGGTGAGAGCAGGCTGCTAGCCAATTTGTCGACATTAATCTACGTCAATGTCTGGGTCACTAATATTGGCGGTGAGAAAATATGAACAAGGCTGATTCAACAACCAATCACAGCAGACTTAACGTGGGCAAATACGATTCGCAGATAGATGGCCTCACTTTCCGAGAAATCAATCAGAAGACTGTTTGTCTACTTGAATAAGCTATAATAATGTACATGAACTATATATAAATACGTGCTGATTTCCGTAATAAAAGGATCTGTTGCCGGCCCTTGTCTTCTGATGTTACATACACATATAATATATGTATACATAATAGTGTTCATGTTACAAGGCATACAAGAAACAACAATACTACGTACGACGTTTTGACACTCTCAACCGAGATAAGTTGGATATACACAACAACAACAACAACAATCGACTGACAACTGACAGAGGGGAATAAAAAACACGAAGTTCATAAATGCAAACAACACACCACAACTAGGGTGTACCTTTATTAATAATGTCAGATGATAATAATAATGATGAAAATAATAACAATAAAAATAAAATCAAGTTTCTTATAAAAATAAAGGCGAGGATTTTTTTCATATGAGGTAGACTAAACACGAAAAAAAGAGCAAAACAAAATTGAAAGACTGTGTAATGGGTTGCCATACTACTCATAACCGTAGCTAATATTATTATTATTACTATTATTATTACTATAAAAATCCGATTCAACTTTGGTGTCTATGAGCACTCGGTGAAAAATATGATGAAGACTTTGGATTTAATAAACATCCATGGATTAAGGACTGGATAAAATAATCAGGGGTGACCAGTACGACAGACAACGTCCTCATGTACGCCAGCTCCGATAGCGAGATCTACAAAATAAAAAAAATATACACAAACAGATAAATGAGAATATATATGAATGACAATAGATAACAATAATAATTAAATCCTCCATGCAATCAAACAAAATCCCTACAAATCCAATACTTGAAAAATAATAACAACAACAACAACAACCAGTTTTACCACGTGTGTAAACCCGGCCGACAACTGCTACCTTGCCGTGGTGGTCGGGTTTGTATACCACAGTCACCCAACAAACCAAACTGGCTGAGACTCATGTTCATGCGGGTCCTACCGTGTCAGGAAGGTTGTTTGGATAGCGGTTAGACTAAAAGCAGTTACCATGGGGTACATGGGCTCCAGAATCCAATCGGATCAAATAGTGTATGAACCCATATTGGTCACCATGGGAATGCAACTCCTGACGCTGCTCCGCTGCCTTGCGGATTAGACTCCGCGTCACAGGTTCGGCGGGTGGTCCCCTTAAGAAAACCACTTGTTTCGGTCTGGGCGCCCGGGCAGTATCTCAGCCCTCACACAATGAATCAAATGAAGCAAGAAACTACCAGTGACACGTATCGCGTGCTCGTAACAATGCTTTCAAGCAATAATGATGTCGCAAGTAACACATCTCTTTCCAACCTTACTTTTATTTTCATACATAGACTCCTGTATTTCACCTTTGCTAACCTCGACTTCTTCACCTTCGACAGCCTTTCGCCTTTGTCTGGATTTCCCCCCAGCCTATCTGTGCCGTTTCGGGATGTTAGTGAGTAGCCTTCAAAATGGTTGTCCCCAATGCGACATCTAACACAAATATCCTGAAACCGCGTGCTGCGTTCAAGCTGCCCACCTACAATGTTCGGACGCTGATGCAAATCGGACAACAGGCAGGGTTGGTAAGAACATTGGAAAGCCTCACTAGCGATGTCTGCTGCATTTCGGAGACCCACATTCAACATCCCAGTGAAGTCCTTCGATTATCCTCTCCATCTGGAAGTTCGAATAGTATGTACCACCTGCGCTTATTCGGGTACCTTTTGACGAAGTCAGCATCCAGCTTATGAATACTGATGAATTACAATAGACAACAAGAAAAACCAGTTTTTCCATGTGTGTTAAAGTTTGACAGTGAGTGGAAATACTAAAGTGTAGTATATGATTATGAGTAGAAAAATTAATTAGGTAATGAAAAGCAATTGATTCTCAGTTTGAAAATTTGTATGATCAGATGAGTTCTCTACCTTCTTCCTCGACAGATGACCGAAGTTCGTTGAAAGTTAAATTTGTAGATGTAGCCCACACCATTTCCGTAGTAATTCAAGTCGGAAACAAAGAAGCATTTTAACATCAACCCATTTTAAACCCCTAAAGGAATTACGTAATAGGTTCGATTTAGTTATTTTGAAACCTGACAAAGGATCTGGTGTAGTTGTAATCGACAGAAGCGATTACAAAACAAAAATGTTATCCATCCTCCCTAATGAGAAAAGCAAATTCATAGCCGATGTTCCTTCGGATGATATCAAGAAGTTGGAAGGAAAAGTAACTTCTCACGCAGTAAAACTTCGTGGCATGGACGTTGGCGATAAACAGGAGTTTAATTCCTAGAAACCCATGGGATCTGACTTTTCAAACCTCTATGGGCTACCCAAGATGCATAAGGTTGATAATCCATTACGTCCAATTCTATCAATGTGTCACTCTCCTACACGTAAATTAGCGAAATCCTTAGTCTACTTTGAAAAATACATTCGTACTTGTTGACTGTCTTGTAGGTATGAACATAAAAGATAGGAAAATGTATTCATTTGATGTTCATTCTTTGTTTACTAATGTGCCATTGGTTAAGACTGTTGATATTCTTTGTGACTATATATCATCTAGTTGTTTTTCATTTCCTTTTGCTTTAACTTATCTGAAAGATTTATTACTATTATGTACTGACAACGTCCATTTCACGTTTGAAGGTGAACATTTTCGACAAGTGGATGGCGTTGCTATGGGAAGTCCATTAGGACATTTGTTAGCGGACGTTTACATGTCTATGTTGAGAACTTGTCCTTTGATTTAATTCCTGAATTGCCCTTCTATAGGAGATATGTAGATGATATCATTTTGATATGCGACGATCATGAAGATGCGAGTCGTCTATTAGACAGACTTAACTCTGTACAAAATCATATTAGTCTTACATGCGAGGAAGAAAGTCGCAATCAGTTAGCATTTTTAGACATACTTCTGAATAGAAGAGATGATGGCTCAATAAGACGGTCTATCTACAGAAAGCCCACTTCGACAGGGCAGTACCTTAATTTTCACAGCTTCTGTCCATTACAGAATAAGAGAGGCTTGATGAAGTGTCCACTCAAGACGATTCAACGTATTTGTACGGCTGATGTTATAGACAAAGAAAACGAAATATTGATGCATACTCTTGGTGAAAATGGATATCCTTTGACATTTTTAAACAAGTGTAGAAGTCAATGGGTCTCTAAACCTACAGTCCATACAGCCCCTAAGAAAAATGTTTTCATCAAATTACCGTATAACGGGGAAATAAACAGTAGGATTTTGAGACAAAGGTTGAATTCGATCATACGTAGAACCTATTATGCACCCAACTTGTAATTTTCGAAAAAGCTGAAAATATGCTCCACTGCAAACCTCGAAAGTGCACAAGTGATTATGTCACATCCCACGCTATTTACCAATTCTCATGTATGTGTGTGTGTGTGTGTGACACCCATACATAGGGAGGAGTAATCGTGCTTTGCATGTGAGGGTGGAACAGCGAGCATATCCCGAGATGGTTAGAAAAACAAATGAATTGTAGAGAAACCAACAGATGCAGGTGTCAAACTACCAACTTCGTCTATAGCTAAACACCTAATCGAGATGAACCATAAGATTGATATTAACCCAACCTTTAAGGTCATCTATAAAAATGGTCAAGGATGCTTATTGAAATACGCCAAGGCTACAGTTATTCATAAACTTGTGTATTCAAAACAGTTTATTATTACTCTTACCCTACCTTGGTAATCCTCATTTGATTGGATTACCAAACGTCGTGTTAATCATTCTTAAATCTTCTTTTGTCAATTTGTTTAATTTAACTTATATATATATCAACTCGACAAGTAAATGCGTGAGGGATCAGATTGTATAGCGCAAATACATCACATGGTTTTTCAGATAATCTCCGTCCTGTAATCGCAACGCTATCCAAATAAAAAGGTCAATCTAATGTTCATTAGACATGGGTGAAACAGATGATGATAGACAAGTAACCGTGTGTCAGTACACACTGAACTTACATCAGTTTCATCGACAAGAACGAAATTTACTTTTTTCTCAATAGTTTGAGATCTACATCTTGATATTGGAAACAAGATGGTAAGTTGTTCACACGCCTCAGATACGGGTATAATTGGAGTCCGACTTGGAGACGACCAACTAGCACCCTCATCCGTTTCACTTATCATTCCAGACGCGATTGATATAGTCTTCAACCACTCGGATCCAAAACCGTGCATATCATTGGTCACTATTGCGCCTAGCCGAAATAAAATATCTGTGCTCGTCCATCTTTCGCATAAACTGAACAACGAAGGAGGAGAAGGAGTTGTATCGAATTCAGATGGACGATAGCTTACAGGAACAGACGACCTGAATATTGAAAATCGAGCAGAAAAAACAAAATAGTGAAAAACAAATAGATAAGCCGATAAATACAACAACATTGTAGAGAGAGAGAACTAACAGACGACTTCAGAAATCAATGGATAGGCCTTCCCACACACAGACAGATTAACTTCTGTGTACCAAACAACACCATGTTCGTCAGTTCAGTCAAAAGTCGACACATATTAGTTATTCCATTATTATTACCAACTTTATAGCTACAAAAGCAGATGCATTGGAAGAAGAATACGAAAACAGCTGGGCAACCTGTTCATGTCTCCCACTTTCAATGGCCATGTCTCACAGCCATCCCATAAAGGAGGACAGAGAGGACTCCTTAGCAGTATACACACGCCCTTTGGTAGACAGCCGGTCAGCCGGATAATATGACGTCTATTCCAGAGATGGCATAAGCTGGCGCATATGTCGAATAATGAGGCTTGTGTATCCGTGCCGAGACTTCGTCAGGCATCAATCTACTGGGGCTGGCTGATGCAACTCTCCGAATAAGTCAAGTGATCAACACGCCCCACCGACCACTTGCTTCACTCCTTACCTCTACGCTAGGAGTTGATATAGTCCAGCCCTGTAGCATAATCATTTTACATTTGACAGCAGCACGAGCGAATCGCTCGTATGCCGAACATTCGTAGATCGTTGCTGCTCAACAAGGTGTTCAGAAGACTCAGTTCTATTTTTTTTGGCAGCGTCTTCACCACGGAGCAGGACTATATACATCATCTGCATATCCTAAACCATTGGTTTTGTAGGGATTTTGTTTGATTGCATGGAGGATTTCATCATGAGCTGACATCAGTTAGAGAGCCATTGGATAACCTGCAGGGAGTACTGGACAGCTGTCTCCCCCATCCTAGTTTGGGACTCTTCATCAGTACGCACCTACAATAGGGGGGTCGAACCCAGCAACTTCTGGTTACAAGGCAAGCTCGTAGACCACTGAGCCACTGGGACCCGATCCAATGGCCAGTCCATGAATTCTAACTTCTGCCAATTGACGACATAACGCGACCATTCAGCGTACTGATGAAGAGTCCCAATCTAGGACGGGGGAAACAGCTGTCCAGTACTCCCTGCTGGCTTTCCAGTGGCTCTCTAACTGATGTCAGCTCATGACAAAATCCTCCATGCAATACAAGTCAATCCCTGCCTGAGTCGCTGAAGTCATTTAGGCTACTTACTTACTTAGTAACATCATCATTTACCAAAACATTATGCTTCATATATTTGATATATTTTAGTAAATGAGCTCAACTCACAATTCACTTCATTCAGATTCCATTCTTTCATTAACACTTTTATAAAATGTTATAATTTACATATACCTCAATATGTTGTTGATTCCCGCTTATTGCTGCTTTATGCGAGAAACTTTGGTCACATTACATTGGTAAGTATAGCAGCAATTTAAGATTTTACTAACTTAACGTTAAGTTTCAATTCATCCACATATCATCCATATTGGCTGTTAATTATTATTATTATTATTATTATCATAATTGCACATTTTATCACTGATATACTTGACGGTTTATCTAAAAATTGTAGTAAAACTGTTAACTTCCATTATTCAATTTGTAACTAGTTGGGAAGATGCCGACCTAAATAAAATGAAGCTGTTGTATTCTCATCTGATCTGAGTTGTTTGTTATTGCTTTATTCAAAATGAAAATGGCTTTCCGAGCAATATGCTACCCCTTCAAACACTCCTCAAACCCAAAAATATAAACATAAAAGTATTACTACTAAGCAGAATACATGTTTGCAGACAAATATTCCTTATCACTATTATTATTATTTCAGAAAACATGTGCAGTATGATGCTACGCTTAAGAGAATCTCTTTTTCAATGATTTATTTAAAAGCGTGGAAAATACCCAGCAGATATCCTTCAAAGGAGAATCTGAAATTTCCTGAAGAAGACTTTTCCGACAACAACTCTAAGAGTGATATTCTATAGTCGCCCACTACTTCGGACCAACGGGAACGAGAGACTTCCTTCCGCATATGACCGCTTCAGTGTGTATATATCAGTTCACCTGCTCTTGCGGCGCTAGGTACATAGGTCGTTCTATGCGGGTCTTACCAAAACGTGTTAGAGAACATCATCCAGCATGGCTACAAAGAGGAGGCACTGGTTCAATCAGAAGCACAATAACTGAACACCTCGTCAATACCTGTCACAGCATCTCAACTGACTCATCATTCAGTCATTTACAAAGTAAACAAAAATCTACCAAGGGCAGTATGTTTCCGACTTCTTTGTGCTGCAGAAGCTCTCGTCGTATCCATTGAAAAGCCAGAGTTGTGCTTTCAAAAGAAACTCGTCTAGCCTTTACAACTACCATGAACCTAGTTCGGTAGGTTCCGTTATCCTTCAGTGTTTTTTTGTTTCGTTCGTCTTCATTCAATTCGTCACATCTTCATTTAAGATATAAAATCAGTTATTTCAAGATTGTTTCCATGCTCCTCCTGATCACACTTGTAATCCGTTTAGAATAACCATTTTACAATTATATTCTAATCCTGTGTAATTTTTTGTTTCTATGCCTCTTGTAATCTGTCTATATTCACACCTTCTAACCTACATTTCAAGTTGAAAATTTTCATTTCAATTTATTTCCATGATCATTTTGTTCACATCTATAATTCGTTCTATCCCTGCGTAATTTTTGTCTCTAAGCCTCCTGTAATTCATATCAAGTTGAAAACAACTATCACCTTTTATTCACCTTTAAAACTCTTATTTCTTCAGTTATCAAATATTAATTTTGCATACGTTGTAAATGTTTTCTAATCCTATGCAATCTTGTCTCTAAGCCCCTTGTAATCTATATTCATACCTTCAAACTTTCATATCAAATTGAAAATTATTATCTCCTTCGTTACTATATGGAATTAATTAAAAATATAATAATTGTATCCATGTAAACTGATGTGTATATAGATGCGGTTGTACAGCTGCTTTTGAGAATGAAATCGCCAAAAAGATCGTCATCTTTGCTGAACTTCTTGTTATTTAATAAAAGCATCGCAAAAGAAATCAGCAATATCAAGATTATGAGTGTCGATCAGTGTCCACAATCAAAATAATCACAATAACAGTCTGTAACACACACACACACACATACCATAAAATAAATCGACAATCTTCACCTACCTACCTAACTACCTACCTGTACACCACCGAAGAGGATAACTGAACCACACCGAAAAACATACATAAATCAACGCGTAAAGAAACCAGTTGGCAACACACACACACACACTGCTGTTACAAGTGAATGTTAATAGAAGCTAGAATGCATCGAGTTATCATTATATCAATACAAAATTAAACAGCACAATCCTTTCACCGATATTTAAAACTAATTTAGCCTCCTAAAGTGATATCAAGAGGTTAATAAAACTTTTTAGAAAAAAGGTCAAGAGGGAGGGGTTCACAAGCATTCCCTTAGGAAAAACATGTACGTGAAATTCCATATTAGTTTGTTTATTAGATGTATCACACAGTCACACAGGTGTTAAATCATTCCCATTACACGAATTGTGCAATTGATTCGATAAACAAGGCTTCTGTTATCAATCTCTCCCTCCCTACACCCAGTGACATTAGATTTAGAAAAAACTGTCATCCTATCCCATCCAGACTATTTTATGGTTGTGTGTACTTGCATGTAGTGCTTGTGATAGCTGAACTATTCTCTAGATTTCTTATCTTATTCGGATCAACTAATCTAGATTTTACTACTAGGTTTTCATGTTCTGCTAGTCTGACGACTCACTGCCCCTGTTCTACTGGTTTGACCTGATAATCATTGCAGTCAGGCAGGGTATTAGATAAACTAAATTGTTTTGTTTTAAAGGCTCCAGCGGATTGATCCTTTAACCAACAAAGCTTCTTTCTAATTGAGTTTGTGAGTTTTTAATGCCACTCTTATTCCTGAAAATACGCGCAATAGGAATGATTCAACACCTGTCCAGTTGGACATCTGGAAAATTCTACTACCGCAACGACGACAAATAGGAGAAGACAAAGAAAACTATACAACTCAAGTGTCGAAGTCGTGTGATTATAATTGATGAAATGATTTTGAACAATATTAAATTGTGTTCGAAACTTTGTCATCCAGTAAATACTACCACTGTTTGTGTGACTGTGTGATACATCTAATAAAAACCAATATGGAATTTAGAAAACAGAAAGATTGAACGAAGAAATATTTACTTTTCAATTAGATCCTCATCTCTGGCTTTACTCTAATGTCTAAATGGGGATTTTTTTCTATTTTAATATGGAATTACTTACTACTACCACCGCCACCACAACAGTGCCCAAGTTTTACACATATATTAGTGCATGTGCAATGTTAAATAAGAAACATTAGTTTCCAGGTTTATAAAAAAAACTTTCAGGCATCAATAGTACTGATCAAAAGTGATCAAAATGACTCACCACCTAACTGGTTCCAAGGATCCAGATATAAATCCTCTGGGCAATTCATAACGACCAGGATATCTGAGTAATAAGTCGAGGGGCCAATTACGCGATGCCTCCTCAGAGTGAGATGCTTCACTTGATGTCTTGACACCTTCTCGACATGCGTCCAGTACCCATTCAGTACTGAGAATAGGAAAAGTACCTAAAGTAGCAAGTGCTTGTAGGTATGCGAATGTAAGACAGCAACCAGTTGACACCAGGGCTATCAGACGATTTTGCTGTATTCCCGCCTCTTGTGCATAAAAACTATTTCGTCGTCTGTAGAGTAAAGCCGGGGTAATCTCCACGGCGATTTCCCCACCACAAGAGGCAATCAATTGTTGTAGAAGATTGACATCAGATTTCGTTGGACTATTATTGCCTATGAAAAAGAAAAGTGATAAATTTCCGTGAAAAAAACGACATAAGCCTACTAAAGCATATCTAAAACATTTAGAGCATCTCATTCATTACTTCATATCGCCTTTAGAAAATGATAAAAGGTGAAAATACAGCAAGGTCGCCGTAAGTTTTAATTCTCAGTCATATTTGATAAAGTCTCAGGCCAATGACGAGTATGATCTCTCAGACACCCGGCCGATAACTGCTACCTTGTCGTGGTGGTCGGGCTTGAATACCGCAATGACCCAACAAGCTGAACTGACTGGGACCCTGTCTCCACAGGTCCTACCATGTCAGGAAGGTTTTCTGGATAGCGGTTAAACTAAAAGCAGTTACCATGGGGTACATGGGCTCCAGTTTCCAATCGGATCAAATGGCGTTTGAACCCATATGGGTCACCGGCAACCATGGGAATGCAGCTCCTGACGCTGCTCCGCTGCCTTGCGGATTAGACTCCAAGTCGAAGGCTCGGGGGTGGTCCCTTAATAAAGCCACCTGCTTCGGTCTGGGCGCCCGGGCAGTATCTCAGCCCGCACACAATGAATGAATTAAAGCAACGAACTCCCATTGAAACTCAACGCGCTAGTTAAAATGATTCCAAGCAATATTGATCCCTCAAGGAACTTATTTCCTTCCTACTCTACTTTTATTTTTATACATAGTTTCCTGTATTGTACCTTTTCTAACCTTGGCTTCTTAACCTTCGACAGCCTTTCGCCTTTGTCGAGATTCCCAGCCTATCCGTGTCGTTTCGAGATGTTAGTGAGTAGTCCTCAAAATGGTTGTTCCCAATGTGACATCTAACACAAATATCCTGAAACCGCGTGCTGCGTTCAAGCTGCCCACCTACAATGTTCGGACGCTGATGCAAATCGGACAACGGGCAGGGTTGGCAAGAACTTTGGAAAGCCTCACTAGCGATGTCTGCTGCATTTCGGAGACCCGCATTCAAGATCCCAGTGAAGTGCTTCGACTATCCTCTCCATCTGGAAGTTCTAGTAGTATGTACCACCTGCGCTTATCCGGGGACCCTGTGGCGTCGGCATCCGGCGTAGCTGGTGTCGGTGTCGCACTGAGCGCTAGAGCCGAAGCTGCACTGCTCGACTGGATTCCCATTAACAGTCGTTTATGTGCTGTGGGGCTGGAAGGTTACACGAAAGTAAAGAGTAGTAGGCCAGATAGGCGGTGTCTATTTGTTGTCTCTGCCTATGCACCGACGGATCGCAGCCCGGATGCAATGAAGGATGAGTTTTACTACCAACTGAGCGATCTCTTGAAACAGGCGGGTCGGAGGGATATCGTAGTGCTGGCTGGGGACTTGAATGCACAGGTGGGGCGTCTAAGCTCAGAGGAGAATCGTCTAGGTGGTCAGTGGGGACTACATGGTCGCAGGTCAGATAATGGGGACCGTCTTCTGCAGCTTTGCGCGGATCACAACCTATTTCTAGCTAGCACCAACTTCCGGCACAGCCATCGCCGTAGCGCTACCTGGCGTCCTCCCTCTGCGAAGCAAGCTTGGACTCAGATTGATCATATCGCGGTCAGTTTCCGGTGGCGGGGATGCATACAAGACTGTCGCTCCTTCTGGAGCACATGCCTGGACTCCGATCATGCGTTAGTGTGTGCCAAGTTCGTCTTGCGATTTGGTGGGGTTCGTAAAAGCCGTAGTCTAAGCGTTGATGTGAGCAAACTAGTAGCACCTGCTACTTCTTTGAAATATCAGAATGAGTTAAAAACAATGCTTGCCAGCAACCCCCCAAGTAGTATAGATGAACATTGGCTTCATGTGCAAGGTGCCATGCAAAAGGCGAGTGTAGCCGCTTGCGGCTTGAAAGAATGCTCCGCTAACAACCACTGGGTTCCTGCGAGTTCCTTGCAACTCATGGATGAACGCCGGTCCATTCCGGCTGGCAGCGAATACAACAATCAGCGAAAGGCGCTCACGCGCAAGATTAGACAGTGTTTACGTAAGGACCGCGAAGCCTGGTGGTCAGAACGTGCGTGTGAGATGGAGTCAGCTGCTGCATCTGGCAACAGTCGGAAGCTGTTCCAACTCATACGAGCCACCGGCAGCAAGAAACAAGGTGTCAGCGAGACGGTCTGTGAGGCAGATGGCACTCCAATTACCAGCCTGAAAAGACGCCTGGAACGCTGGGCAGAGCACTTCGGGAAGCAGTTCAGCTGGCCACCAGCTTCAGTGTCTACTATCATTAGCCCGAGTGCTCCTTGGTCGGTTAGTACCGACCCACCCACCGAAGCGGAGGTCCGTAAGGAACTCCAAGTTCTGAAACGCCATAAGGCACCCGGCCCAGACAAATTACCCCCGGCTCTTTTTAAAGATGGTGGCGAGACTATCACAATGGCTCTAACTGGGTTGTTCAGGAAGGTGTGGGAGACAGAGAGTGTGCCATCAATGTGGAACGAAGCCATTATCGTCCCCATCTTTAAAAAGGGTCGACGTAATTCGTGTGACAATCATAGGGGTATCAGTCTGTTACCAGTCGCGTCTAAAATACTGGCTGCTGTCTTGCTTCGCAGACTGTGCAAAATACGTGAAGGATTGATTCGCGAAGAGCAGGCTGGGTTTCGTTCAGGTCGTGGATGCATTGATCAGGTGTTCACCCTTCGTCAGTTGTTGGAACACCGCCACACGTATTGCAGGCCAACGATCGTTGTGTTTCTTGATATTAGGGCTGCCTTCGATTCGTTGGACAGAACTGTGCTCTGGAACTGTCTGTTAGAGAGAGGTGTACCTGAGAAATTTGTTAACATCCTGAAAGCCCTATACAGAAACACCTCAGGTAGAGTGAGGGCATACAACCAACTATCACCACTGTTCCCAACCAACAGTGGGGTTAGACAGGGTTGCCCAATCTCTCCGTTTCTCTTTAACTTTGCCATCGATGACATTCTAGAGTCAGCTCTGAAGGATGTGCGTGAAGGTGGTGTAGATCTGCTACCTGGAGATAGACTTTTCGACCTCGAGTATGCAGACGATATCGTCTTACTGTGCGATAGCATGCAGGCTGCCCAAATCGCACTTAATCAGTTGGCGATCAGTGTCTGTAAGTATGGTATGTGCTTTGCGCCGTCTAAGTGCAAAGTACTGTTACAAGATTGGCAGGAGCCTGTACCTGCACTCACTCTTGCGAGTGAACCGCTTGAAGTTGTTGATAAGTTTGTGTACCTGGGTAGTTGTGTGAGTGCTGGCGGAGGGGTGACGGATGAGATTTCCAACCGTATAATGAAGGCTAGGGTGGCATACATCAACTTGAGCCACCTCTGGCGCCGTCGCGACGTTAGCCTGGCTGTCAAAGGTCGGGTATACAATGCTTCGGTGCGAGATGTCCTGCTCTACGCCTGTGAAACCTGGCCTCTCCGAGCTGAGGATGTGCGGCGACTCTGCGTGTTCGATCACCGCTGTCTCCGCAGGATTGCTTGCGTTCGATGGCATCATCGCGTGAGTAATTCTGAGGTTCGGCGGCGTGTGTTTGAACAAAGTGGAGATCACTATTCCTTGAATGTCGTCATCTGGAAACACCGGCTCCGGTGGCTTGGACATGTGCTCCGAATGTCACCCCAGAGGCTTCCGTACAGGTCTCTGTTCGCTAGCCCTGGGACGGGATGGAAAAGGCGGAGAGGTGGTCAGTCCATGACGTGGCGTCGTGGGATGAAGGATTTTTGTGCTAGATTAGCATCGGTTGGTGTGTCACGACTCCCTGGTTGGGGTCCGAGAGATAGCTCAAATCGATGGCTCGAAACGTTATCGGATATGGCCAAGAATCGTAATCAGTGGCGAATGTGTTGTGATTTCCTTCTTTCTTCCCTTCCCGATGATAGCTAACGAACACTGTTTGAACTTGTTAAGCATGACTGTTTTCCTTCCAGATGAAGTTCTTTATCCGTTCTCTACTTATATATATTTTTTCTTTTCCTTCCTTCCTTTTTTTTGATCTATGTTGTTTTATTATTATTGTGTGGCGCATCTTTCTTGGTGCCATATTGTACCAAGTTTTTTATGCGTTTAAATAAATAAATAATAAATAAATCTCTCAGACAAAACCCACCTGAAGGATCAGTTTCCACAGGCACCTGTCTGTCTGTTTTCGACATAGACCTTTGCACCGATGTGCAGCAGTTCAAGTCGCCACATTCCCTCCATGTAGCACACAACGCAACAGAAGAAATGCAAAATGGAGACAGTAAATAGAGATGTGAGACAAAGCAATAGTACTAACGGAGAACAGTATAGTTTCATTGGAAATCATAAGTCACAACGAGTGGATGCATCTGCACCAGTCAGCTATTGAGAACGATATTCAGCCATATCACCAATTGTTTCCAGCCATTGGGTTTTCTCGTCACGAGGACTCCAACCAGTCAGGAAGTAGACACCTTCCCACGTGGCTAGCTGGCTTAAACTAACTGTTGTGGATTTCATTGACTGATGAAGCCATGTTTTGGTTTGACCGCCGCTAGCTCTTTTCCACTCTGACCCTATGTCAGCTAGCATTGGCTGTCAGTCGATGAAGGCGATGACTAGGCATATGTAACACATGTCCTAACCACCTCTCTCAGTAGATGTAATTTCACAGCCTCGTCGATTGATTTCCCCTCCTCCTTACCTAGCACTCGACCGACGCCTAACCTCAATATTGCTCACCTTGTTTTACCACTTCATATGGGAGATAGAACGCAGGCACCTAACGTAACAACGCTTACCCTTGATGACGTAACAATCGGTTGTTCAATAAAATCCTCACTGAACAACAAATGATCCACCTAGGGGTGGTTAACAAATCAGCTGACTGCTGTAATAATTACCCGAAAATATCACCACTTCTATAAGTCTCTACTACTTTAAGCCATAGCAAAAAATGACCATTAATGCAAAGTAAACATCAACGAGTCGATTGGTAGAGACGACCCTAAAAACTCACTTCTAGCACCACCAGTAAGAATAATAGTCCATCCTTTAAACACTGATGATCTTGGAGTTGGAATACTCAAGATACGACATATTGAATCCAACAAACCACCTTCCAATGGTGTCGATGATGACAGCCCATCTAAAATTTAAAAAAAAAATGAATGATGTCAACTTAAATAAGCATATTCATGTATATATTTCAATTGGTTATCAGTGACGTACACTCCAACTCTTTTTCAAGCCATTTAGGTATGTATGTATGTTCTATCACCTTTAAATGCAAGGCGCCATTACTCCTCCTCCTCCTCCTCCTCTCGATGTATGCGGCCACACACACACACAACACGGAATGTGATGTGCAATGTTGAGGCGCCTGTGGTAGAGCAAGTTTTTGGCTTTTTCGATAATTTAAAACAACTAGTCCCTTCAATAAATTTCGATAGACCTATTAGTAATCATTCATTCATTCATTCGTTCTTTCTCAAAGAAACAATGTGTAATAATGCTAAACACCAAGTGCTTTCAACTAGCTCGATAAGTCACACTCCGCCTGATGAAGAAGACGAACATTGATCGGATATGTTCACTCATAACCTATTCAACTAAACTTCGTACACCCTTTGATTGAATACAAGCATACTGTAAATCAGGTGGGTTGCTTTCATGGAAAAGATGCTGTTGTCAACAAATTCTCCTCTGAAAAATGCACGGCGACACTGCTGCTCCACAACTCCCAATTAACAATGTGTCTAACCACAGGAAACAGAAGATCTAAACGAAAAATTGCTGACCCTTATTGTGAAATAAGAATAAAACCTGTGAACTGTGGTAGAGTATAATTCCATTATGGGTACACTTTTGTGTTGATCAAGTCTCACGGTGTTATACAGTGTTATATATTTACTGATGAAGTTTCGAGCACAATTTATTGCTGCTCATAATCATATCAAGCTACTCACACGACTTCCTAACTTCATTTATAAAATTCCATTATTTTTCATCGCTTCATTTGGTGATTTGTAGTAGTGGTATTTTCCATATTTCGGGTATGAGTGATGAATCATTCCTATTGCATGTGTTCGGTGTAGACTGGATGAACAAGGGTTCAGTAATCAACAAAAAACACACACACTCTCTCTCTCTCCACTTACCTAGATTACTTTTTAGAATTTCAATCCTCTCCTGCCACGCCATTGTGTGGTTGTGTGTTAATACATGCAGTGAAATGTAGTGTTGAGCTTTTTTTAAATGACTTATCTTCTCGGGTAGGGTCAACCACTCCTTCCTCAGATAAATTCTTATGTTCTGACAATCTGACTACCCCTGACCTACCATTTTGACCTACGTAGTTGACCTAACTCACAGTCATTGCAAGGTATTTTGTCAATTATATTATTTTGTCTAATAGGGTCAACAGGATCCTTTAACCCACAGGGCTTGTCCTACCTGAGTGAGTTTGTGGGTTCCAATGTCATCACCCTAATTTCTGCTTCATTGAGAATCCTACATAGGGAGTACCTCAGATGTCCCCTCCTTATATGGTAGAAGTGCTGTAGATGACTTATATTCTCTCTTATTTATGTTATCATTACTAGTTTCATAATTAATTTTATTTCACTTTTGACCTTTTTTCGATTTTCCTAATGAATTTTGTAGGCTAGTTATTTGATAACAACACTTCTTCTATCTGTTTTATTTCGTTAGTTAGGTCAGTTAACGGATGAGATGAATCACAGTCTAAATAGCTATTAGCAGAATGCGTTAGTTTTTTATAAACGCTAGTCTTCAGTCTACCTTCTTCTATTCGTTTCATTTTACAATCTAACATCACAGCTAATTCTCCTTGTTCATTTTCCAGAAATGTGGAGAATTCTACTACCAATCAAATCAAGCGATGAAAAATAATGGAATTTTATAAATGAAGTTAGAAAGTTGTGTGAGTAGTGCCTTGATATGATTATGAACAGTAATGAGAATTGTGCTCGAAACGTGGTCATCAGTAAACATTACTGTATAACAACTCTGTGAGACTTTATCAAAACAAATTTTACTTATTGTAAAACACGGTGATTGCATAAAAGCCTATGGCAGAACTATTATTTGCTTTGAGTTTATAACTGCAACCATCACAGCATAAGCACGTCAGTATAAACAATATGAACTAATTAACCTTAGCTGCTGCTGTTATCTCAAAAACAACAGACTTTTATATGTGTGCAGAACAATCAACTTACTGGTAACTTCGTGTGTATTCAATGGCTCAGAAAAATGCATGGAATCTTGGATAGGAAGCTCGTTAAATAGGTCTTGTGTGGTCTGAGCCAAAGAGTTTTCTCCACGGTTCTGTGAAAAATATTAATGACATTTGCATCAATTACAACACAACTAAAGTCAACTAATTACCATTTCTAAAGCAACTTTGGAATAAAACAAGAACCTTAAAAATAACAATACTAACTTTAACAGATGACAATTTACATTTTGTAACAGCACAAACAGGAAAGAAGTGCGCTGTGCAACAAATAAACACCATGTGGAAGTCAGTCAGTCGGGTATTTCACTGACAATAGAGATAACAACAAACCAAGACCTTACGGAGGACTTGGGTTAAACAACCCAGAAACGTTAGCAGTTATGCAGATTTATTATGTGCCTTAATGTTGATTTAGAATTTAATTGGTAGATGGTGACTAGCAGTGGAATCCAGGATAACGCGCATTTCATAGGTCCTATTTGGGACTCGTCAATTGGCTGGATTTACCTGCATTTCCCAGTGAGTCAGTGATGATGTTCCCAACACGGAGGCTCGAACTCAGTGTCCATAGTTTCAAACAACAGCGAAAGCGTTATCCACTAGAGCGCTTGAGCCACGAGGGCCACCTCTTTAGCAACGAGTCATATTAATTATTTAATTCAATTTTAGGTTTTCCCGTTGATTGATTGGACCGAAGTGCTCGGTTTCAGGTTGACACGCTTTGGCGTTTGAAACTATAGGCACTGAGTTCGAGCCTCCGTGGTGGGAACATCATCACTGACTCACTGGGAAAGGCAGGTACATCCAGCCAATTGACGAGTCCCAAATAGGACCTGTGAAATGCGCGTTATCTCTGGATTCCACTGCTAGTCACCATCCATCAATTCAATTCTAATTACATGCCCAGATATCGTCGAAGCATCCGCACAAAAGGCCAACAGACATGTCAACCTGAGGCCGGGCACTTCGGTCCAATCAATCGACGCGAAAATCTAAAATTCAATAATGTTAACTAAGTTGTAATGCATTTTAATCCAAGTAGTAATACGATTTATCCTGAGAACTAATAATACTTCCGTCAAATATATTCGTCCTTTCACTTGCTAACACTTTCCGTGGTGCAACTTCCAACTAGACAGCAGCCTATGCGCTGTTAAAGCTCACGTTGCCTTCCCTGATGGCTAGTATTTTCACACATCCGTGACACTCCGAAGACAAACTATGACCTGACACACCCATCGCTATCATTTTAGGGACGGTTTGTACAGTCAGTCGGTAGTAGTTGGATTTATCTTTTAATACCAAGTAGCCCGTAAACCTCTTCTTTTCGCTAAGTTACTAGAAAAAAGGAAAAGCCGGGTTTTATCATACAGTATTTTGCTCTCTATATTATATGGGAGGCCAAGCAGTACGTAAGACATAATTCACTGACGACAAAATTGACTGCAAAGACGTGTTGCAGTATCAAGCAGATTTACAGCACACAATTCCCTTTCGGCAATTTACACATCTTTGTTTGACGATTTCAATGGCATATATCCCGGTTTGCATCCAAGTGTGTTAAACAGATTTCAAGGCGTCTATCTTCTGTTTACGCTTTACATTCCTGACGGCTCCTTTCCGTTCCCTTCGCAACCACCTCGTCATATTCCACTCCTGGTAAACGGAACAAGTCGTACTGTGTATTGGCAGTCTTTGATTCCTACCAAACTTCAACTGAAATGATGACTTCTTTGTTGGTTCCTGGGTGGGTGGAAGCACGACGAGCTAGTAAAATCAATAGAAGGAAGATCCGCCTTCCAGTTGCCGCTCTTCGAGGTCAACCACTCCTTCAGTGTACGGTTATTTCTCTCTGTCAAACTATTTGTTTCTGGATGATGATATGGTCTTGTTCTCATCTTCTTGATAGTCAGTTGTTGCAAACGGGATGCATATGAGCTTGGCTTTCAAAACAAGGACACTGATCTGCCTGCCAGTCAGTATCGTACACCGTGGTCTGCAACGATGTGTCTAACTACTGCATCAGTCACAGTTCTCGCGCGTTCACCTGAGATCACGATGACTTGTTCCTTCATCACCAGGAGGTACTGATTGCCATTGAATGCGTGATGAAACCGACCCACTACGTCGATACACCACAAGTCATCTACTTCCGTCAATGGAATCGACTACACAGACAGTCGGATGCACGCATCTCCCTTCATCAACTTGCACTGCGGACATTCAAGTACATATTTTGCCACATCTTCTCTCACATCTGACCAACACATGCTTTGTCTCAAGAGGTCAGTTGTTCCGGCTACTCCTATGTGTTCTGGCTGGTGACATTCTTGTGTCATCTCATGGCGTGGAGACTGAGGTATTACCGCCAACCAGCTTCCATAGTTCTCTCTCCAAGTCAGAGTTCTGTAAACCTTCACTATTAATCGATCCCACTGTCTGAGTAGCATAGTCCGATCCTTACTCGCCATAGAAGTTGATTCACTTCTATTCCATTAGTGATCACCTGTATTACTGTATTCAGGGTAGGGTCCAATTTCTCACTGCGAGCAAGTCTTAATGGATCTTGTTACAATACATCCACTCAATAAGCGATCTTCGCCAACCCAGATTCGTCTTCTGGTCTAGATAAGAAATCTGACAAAGAAGTTCAGTTGCTGGGGCCGCGTGAGATGATGAAGTCATACTTCTCCAGGCTCAACATCCACCTGGACAATTTTCCACATGGGCCTTTCGCCATCTTCACAAAATCTACCGACTTCTGATCAGTTTCCATGTGGAACTGTTGGTCGAGTAAATACGGTCTCCATTTCATTATGGACAAAATTTTATTTCGATAAAGTCCCACAGTGTTATACAGTACAGTAATATATACAGATGACGTTTCGAGAACAATTTATTCCTCATAATCATATCAGTGCCCGAGTTTCATGCTTATAACGGTCTCCATTTGTTTACCCGCCCATACTATTGCTGAACACTCCTTCTTCCTCTATCGTTGAATACTTCTACTCTGTGTGTTCAAATACCACTGATATATTCCACAAATGCTTCACCCTGTCCAAGTACTGCGTCTGTGGCATAGTCACTCGCATCTGTGTACACTGTCAACTGTTTTCCGGGTACAGGCAGTCTTAGCGTTATTCTACGGTCGTTTGACAGCCGTTTAATACTGTCAAATATCTTCTGAGAATCTTCCGACAAATCAAACTTCGACTCATCATCTAATAGCCTGCACACGGGGTCTGGGTCTGCTATCCTATTGAAGTTTGCACAAATCGACTATGAAATGCTGCTCTCCCCAGGAACTTCCCTAGCGTTCTCTTGGAATTCGGGCCCGTAATCGTCTTTATCGACAAGATTTTCTCCGGTAGCGGTTTTATCTCACCGTTGCCCACTCCTCTATCACCCAACACGCCAACACTCCGTTTGGCTATCTGAGATTTTCTCCTGTCAATGCGCAGTCCAAACTCTTCAATGCCTTTTAACACGGCTTCAACATGGCTCACATGATCGCTTTCGTTTTGATTTTAGATGAACACGTCATCACCGTACACCTCCACATTCTTCAAGTTTCCAATCAACAACGTAACGACTCCTCTGAAGGCAAACGGTACACCTGCTAGTCGTCCAAATAGCATGCGTTTAAACCGATATTCTTTCTGACCCATGCGATGAACACCGTCTTATCTCTGTCGCTCTGTTTTATCGATATCTGACAATATCGTGACCGGAGGGAGGTCAAGCACTGTTAACAAATTCGCGAATTCTATACCATTCACGCGGTATCTACTACAGTTTGCATGCCACACCGTCTCAGCTCTGTCATGCGGTTTAGCTGTCACAAATCCACGCACAATCTCTAATTCCCATTTCCTTTCTTCACTAAAAAAATTAAAAAGTTATACGGGCTGTCAGCTTCTTCTATAATATCATCATGCAAAATCTCCTTCAACTGTCGCTCCACTTTGCACAAACCCATAAACATCACCTCCGTGGTTTCACGAGTAGTTGAATCGATTGTAAACAATCAAATCAATCAGTCAGTAAATATCAACCCAACCAGAACACAGTCAAACAAACATATTCGAATGTAGCCATATTTGATAACGAAAATAGCACAGTATTTGACCGTGAACTACTGCTACTACAACTACTAAGGGGCCCACAACGCCTTCGTATCAACCTACCTAAACTACATGCACTCTGAGAAGATCTTTGACAGATTCAACGTCACACCAAACAGTATCGACAGTATTTCCGAACTCCAATCAACAAATAGATATTTCAACGCCACAATCACGGTGTCTCATTCCAAGCAACGTTATTCTTAACCTTTAGCATTTCATTCAAACAAACAGCACCGGATCCCAGTCAAAATACCAACACCACACCATCACCCATTGGGGATTGTATATTGCAGGTAAATCCAGTTGGCGATTCCCGAACCGGACAAAATCCTAGAAGGACTCCTCCTGACGAAGCCTGGAACAACATACAGTTAGCTGTAGACACAGATGTCAAAGCTGTTAATAGCCTAAAACCTAAGGTCAGTAAGAGCCATTGGATTTCTACCACCTCATCCAAACGGACTGACTGACTGACTGACTGACTGACGCAAAAACGTCAATTCCGATGAGCTCCAAATATGATCAGGAGCAAAAGCTGCTGCTCACGCACAAACTAACAAGAAGTCTTCGCAACAACCGTGAACAGTGGTGTGCAACAAAAACCAAAGAGATGGAAAAGACTTCGACGATTGGTAACACAAGACAACTATTTAGACTTATCAGAGAAGCAGGTGGCAAAAGGCAAATCATACGTGGAACAATCTCTGAGGAAAATGACACCATAATTACCTCCCAAGACAGACGACTCGGATGTTGGAAAGAACACTTTGAGCAGGAATTTAGAGAATAAGTGTTTTCAATAAATTCTTTAGACTCTACAATTATAAATCCATTAATTTAAGCATACAATAGCCAGTCAGTAAAGGCAAGTTAGAATCATATCCGCTTATTTCATCTCTCGTTGGTATGAGCGGGACCACGGCTCTCCGTGACAGTGTGACAGTGGCCCTTTCCACTTCGGTAAGAGTTTCCACAAACATGGTCTGCATCCAACTGTATACTTTCTTCCTCTACACTTTACTTCATCGCCGACCTAGAGGCTTATGCATCCTATCTTTCCTCCCTGCTCAGATTTCAAGGCGTCTATCTTCTGTTTACGCTTTACATTCCTGACGGCTCCTTTCCGTTCCCTTCGCAACCACCTCGTCATATTCCACTCCTGGTAAACGGAACAAGTCGTACTGTGTATTGGCAGTCTTTGATTCCTACCAAACTTCAACTGAAATGATGACTTCTTTGTTGGTTCCTGGGTGGGTGGAAGCAGGTACATCCGGTTGGCGATTCCCGAACCGGACAAAATCCTAGTCACCATCCACCAAATTACATACTTAATTTTAAGTCCGGATAATCTTCTCCTCTATATACACTCACTACTCTGTAATTAACCTCATCCATCCTCTGTAGGATTATAACATTATCCTACCTGCGAATGAATCTTCAGAACACATTCATTCGATAAAACAAAAATATTATCTATCTTCAATCTGATTTCACCCTACTCACCGGTTGGTTGCGTAAAACTTTGTCATATGTAGAGCGGAAACAGGGGGAAACAAACCAGAACTTACAATTTCAATGTGGAGTCTGTTTGCCTCTTCATTCTTCACATTATCTCTCACTTCACATGACTCCGACTTGCTTCTTTTTCGGTAATTACCCGGTGTAATCCAGTCGTCGCCAAAAACTTTAGGCTTTGGCCTTCGCTTTCTCTTCTGTGTGCCACTTGACGAACTCACCTATAAGGAGAAAAACGAATCACAATCAAAGAAAACACAAACACATACATTTTACAACTGAATTCGCATGAAAATAACGAAAATAAAAGGATTAGAATATCATCTAAGTAGAGTAATGCAGCAGTTGAGTACATGATGAAAACTTATACGAAAGAGCTGATTGCCAGTCAATGAGCTTCAACACAAAACTTTGCACAGAAGTGGAACGGTTCAAGTTGACAAACTCCACGTAGTACACAAAGATAGACAAGCTAACCTAGACAGAGAAAACACTCTCAAAAGCAGAAATGTACGGGAGGAAGACTAGGAACATGGAGTTACTAGGGATTTAATCGGTGCATCAGAACATAACATCACTAAGAGTGCCTGCATCTGTGCCACTCACCACGATTTCCGACCATATCACCAACAATCTCCAACCACTACTTCTTAGCATTCCCAACACCCCCAACCAACCAGCCAGTCTACGTCTACACCTACGCCCTATCTGGCTCAAAACAGCTCTCAAGGACTTTATTGCTTGATTCCACATTTTCGTCTGGTCTAATTAACTCCTTTCCAACTCCAACTCCAACTCTACGTCAGCTAACACTGCTCGGATCAACTAAAGGATGACTTCGACGAGAATCTGTCCCAATTCACTGCAAAAAGCAAAACCTTCAGATATAGTTGTTTTAGCAGGCGACTTCAATGCCCAAGTAGGCAAGTTATACCAGAGGGAGAAGTATATAGGCGGTACATACGGAGTTCACTACCGACGAACCGACAACGGCGGTGATTGTCTTCTACACTTCTCTTCAGATAATCATCTGTTCCTAGTCACCACTAACTGTAGCCACAAACACAGACATTGTCTAACCTGGCGATGACTTCCATCACCAAATCAACATTGGACTCAAATAGACCACATAGCGATAAGGTATCGTTGGAGAGGGTCGGGTAGAAGACTACCACTACTTCTGGAACACGTGCGTAGACTCCGATCACGCCTTGGTTTGCGTACCTTTATGCGGTTAAACGGACATAAAAAATTGTTCGCAGCCAAGCAGTTACTTCCTCAACTAGATCGAGACACTCAGTCCATATTTCAGAAAGAAATAGCCAAACGAGTACCTGAGGTCGACAGAAGGACTCCTCCTGACGAAGCCTGGAACAACATACAGTTAGCTGTAGACACAGATGTCAAAGCTGTTAATAGCCTAAAACCTAAGGTCAGTAAGAGCCATTGGATTTCTACCACCTCATCCAAACGGACTGACTGACTGACTGACTGACTGACGCAAAAACGTCGATTCCGATGAGCTCCAAATATGATCAGGAGCAAAAGCTGCTGCTCACGCACAAACTAACAAGAAGTCTTCGCAACAACCGTGAACAGTGGTGTGCAACAAAAACCAAAGAGATGGAAAAGACTTCGACGATTGGTAACACAAGACAACTATTTAGACTTATCAGAGAAGCAGGTGGCAAAAGGCAAATCATACGTGGAACAATCTCTGAGGAAAATGACACCATAATTACCTCCCAAGACAGACGACTCGGATGTTGGAAAGAACACTTTGAGCAGGAATTTAGAGAATAAGTGTCTTCAATAAATTCTTTAGACTCTACAATTATAAATCCATTAATTTAAGCATACAATAGCCAGTCAGTAAAGGCAAGTTAGAATCATATCCGCTTATTTCATCTCTCGTTGGTATGAGCGGGACCACGGCTCTCCGTGACAGTGTGACAGTGGCCCTTTCCACTTCGGTAAGAGTTTCCACAAACATGGTCTGCATCCAACTGTATACTTTCTTCCTCTACACTTTACTTCATCGCCGACCTAGAGGCTTATGCATCCTATCTTTCCTCCCTGCTCAGATTTCAAGGCGTCTATCTTCTGTTTACGCTTTACATTCCTGACGGCTCCTTTCCGTTCCCTTCGCAACCACCTCGTCATATTCCACTCCTGGTAAACGGAACAAATCGTACTGTGTATTCGCAGTCTTTGATTCCTACCAAACTTCAACTGAAATGATGACTTCCATTATAGATAAGATTTTTATTTTGATAAATCGCACAGTGTTTACAGTTATATGAACTGATGACGTTTCGAGCACAATTTATTGCTTATAATCATTTCAAGGTAATCACACGACTTCCTTAATCCACTTATATAGTTCCATTGTTTTTCTCTTGATTTTCACTTGATTTGATTGGTAATAGTATTTTCCATATTTCAGGTATGAGTGACGAGTCATTCCTATTGCATGTGTTGGGTGTAGACTCGATGAACAAGGATTCAGTAATCAACCTCTCTCTCCACCTACCTAGATTACTTTTTAGAATTTTAACCCTCTCCCACCCTATTGTGTGGTTGTGTGTTAGCGCATGCATTGCAATTGCTGAGCTTTTTTCTAAATTATTTATCTTCTCGGGGTCAACCATTCTTACCTTAGCTAAATTTTTATGCTCTGACAATCTGACTACCCCTGACCTACTAGTTTGACCTATGTAGTTGACCTCACAGTCATTGCATGGTATTTTGTAAATAATATTATTTTGTCTAATTGGGTCAACTGGGTCCTTTAACCTACAGAGCTTGTCCCTGAGTGAGTTTGTAGGTTTAAATGCCACCCTAATTCCTATTTTATTCAGAATCCTACGTAGTGTCTCAGATGTCCCCTCTTTATATGGTATAACTGTGGATGACTTATATTCTTTCTTATTTATGTTATTATTACTAGTTTCACAATTATTTTTATTTTGTTTTTGGCCTTTAATGATCTTCCTAATGAATTTTATAGGATAGTTATTCAACACCAACGCTTCTTCTATCTGTGTTAATTCATCATTTAGATCTTTTTTTGTGCTACTTAGTGCCACTGCTCGGTTTGTTAAACATTTAACTAAGCCTGCCTTAACAGTTAAAGGATGAGACGAATTAAAGTCTAAATATCTATTAGAATGCGTTGGTTTTCTATAAACACTAGTGTGTAGTTTGCCTTCTTCTATTCTTTTTATCTTACAATCTAACATAGCTAATTCTCCTTGTTCATTTTCTGATTCAAATGTGAATTTTATTCCCTCAACTTGTGAGTTTATATGTGTCAAGAAGCTAGAGATGTGTTCTGTTTTTAACACTGTGAAAGTGTCATCCACATATCTCCACCATATTTTCGGATTAGGGTTAAATGTATTGAGGGCACTATTTTCCAGCTGTCCATAAATATGTCTGCTACGATAGGGGATATTGGTGATCCCATTGCTACACCTTCTGTTTGTCTATATATTTTGTCTTGGAACTTAAAGATAGTAGATGTGAGGCATAACTGAATCCCTAAAATAATTTCTTCAATGGACAGCTTTGTCCTATGACTGAGTTCCGGATCCGCAGTTAATTCCTTTTTAACTGCTTCTAAGGCCATATTAACTGGTATATTAGTATAAAGACTAGTTATATCAAAACTAACCATTTTTTTCATCATTTTCTAGTTGAATGTCATTTAGCTTACTTTTCATCTCATATGAATTAGTTAGTCTAGAGTTTGAGCGATTTCTAATGGGACAAAGTATTAGAGCTAAGTGTTTTGATTATTCATAAGTGAAGGTATTTCTAAAATCTACTATTGGTCTTATGGGGTAACCTGGTTTATGTATTTTAATAGTACCTTATATTCTACTAGTATTATTAGTTTTAGGCATTAAAGTAAACCATTTAGACACTTTCACAGTGTTAAAAACAGAACACATCTCTAGCTTCTTGACACATATAAACTCACAAGTTGAGGGAATAAAATTCACATTTGAATCAGAAAATGAACAAGGAGAATTAGCTATGTTAGATTGTAAGATAAAAAGAATAGAAGAAGGCAAACTACACACTAGTGTTTATAGAAAACCAACGCATTCTAATAGATATTTAGACTTTAATTCGTCTCATCCTTTAACTGTTAAGGCAGGCTTAGTTAAATGTTTAACAAACCGAGCAGTGGCACTAAGTAGCACAAAAAAAGATCTAAATGATGAATTAACACAGATAGAAGAAGCGTTGGTGTTGAATAACTATCCTATAAAATTCATTAGGAAGATCATTAAAGGCCAAAAACAAAATAAAAATAATTGTGAAACTAGTAATAATAACATAAATAAGAAAGAATATAAGTCATCCACAGTTATACCATATAAAGAGGGGACATCTGAGACACTACGTAGGATTCTGAATAAAATAGGAATTAGGGTGGCATTTAAACCTACAAACTCACTCAGGGACAAGCTCTGTAGGTTAAAGGACCCAGTTGACCCAATTAGACAAAATAATATTATTTACAAAATACCATGCAATGACTGTGAGGTCAACTACATAGGTCAAACTAGTAGGTCAGGGGTAGTCAGATTGTCAGAGCATAAAAATTTAGCTAAGGTAAGAATGGTTGACCCCGAGAAGATAAATAATTTAGAAAAAAGCTCAGCAATTGCAATGCATGCGCTAACACACAACCACACAATAGGGTGGGAGAGGGTTAAAATTCTAAAAAGTAATCTAGGTAGGTGGAGAGAGAGGTTGATTACTGAATCCTTGTTCATCGAGTCTACACCCAACACATGCAATAGGAATGACTCGTCACTCATACCTGAAATATGGAAAATACTATTACCAATCAAATCAAGTGAAAATCAAGAGAAAAACAATGGAACTATATAAGTGGATTAAGGAAGTCGTGTGATTACCTTGAAATGATTATGAGCAATAAATTGTGCTCGAAACGTCATCAGTTCATATAACTGTAAACACTGTGCGATTTATCAAAATAAAAATCTTATCTATAATGGAATTATACTCTACCACGGTGCACAAGTTTTATACTTATCTCAAGAAATGATGACTTCTTTGTTAGTTCCTGGGTGGGTGGAAGCAGGTACATCCGGTTGGCGATTCCCGAACCGGACAAAATCCTAGTCACCATCCACCAAATTACATACTTAATTTTAAGTCCGGATAATCTTCTCCTCTATATACACTCACTACTCTGTAATTAACCTCATCCATCCTCTGTAGGATTATAACATTATCCTACCTGCGAATGAATCTTCAGAACACATTCATTCGATAAAACAAAAATATTATCTATCTTCAATCTGATTTCACCCTACTCACCGGTTGGTTGCGTAAAACTTTGTCATATGTAGAGCGGAAACAGGGGGAAACAAACCAGAACTTACAATTTCAATGTGGAGTCTGTTTGCCTCTTCATTCTTCACATTATCTCTCACTTCACATGACTCCGACTTGCTTCTTTTTCGGTAATTACCCGGTGTAATCCAGTCGTCGCCAAAAACTTTAGGCTTTGGCCTTCGCTTTCTCTTCTGTGTGCCACTTGACGAACTCACCTATAAGGAGAAAAACGAATCACAATCAAAGAAAACACAAACACATACATTTTACAACTGAATTCGCATGAAAATAACGAAAATAAAAGGATTAGAATATCATCTAAGTAGAGTAATGCAGCAGTTGAGTACATGATGAAAACTTATACGAAAGAGCTGATTGCCAGTCAATGAGCTTCAACACAAAACTTTGCACAGAAGTGGAACGGTTCAAGTTGACAAACTCCACGTAGTACACAAAGATAGACAAGCTAACCTAGACAGAGAAAACACTCTCAAAAGCAGAAATGTACGGGAGGAAGACTAGGAACATGGAGTTACTAGGGATTTAATCGGTGCATCAGAACATAACATCACTAAGAGTGCCTGCATCTGTGCCACTCACCACGATTTCCGACCATATCACCAACAATCTCCAACCACTACTTCTTAGCATTCCCAACACCCCCAACCAACCAGCCAGTCTACGTCTACACCTACGCCCTATCTGGCTCAAAACAGCTCTCAAGGACTTTATTGCTTGATTCCACATTTTCGTCTGGTCTAATTAACTCCTTTCCAACTCCAACTCCAACTCTACGTCAGCTAACACTGCTCGGATCAACTGTCTGTCTGTCTGTTTTCGACATAGAACTTTGCACAAATGTGCGGAAGTTCAAGTCGCCACATTCCGTGTAGCACGCGAAGCAAGAGAGGAAAGTACAAGAAAAGCATAATAGAAACAGTGAGCAGAGGTGTGAGACAAAGGAGTAATAAAGAAATACAAAACAGTTTCATTGAAGATCATAAGTCACAGGGAGTGGATGCATCTGCGCCACTGAGAACGATTTTGAGCCATGTCACCAATTGTTTCCAACCATAGATTTTTACCGTCCCGAGGACCCCAGCCTGGAAGTCTACACCTTTCTACGTGGCTGGCTTAGACCAACTGTTGTGGATTTCATTGACTGATGCCAAGTTTTTGTTTGACCTCCGCTAGCTTTTTTCCAGCCTGACCCTATATCCGCTAACATTGCTCGTCGAGGGAGGCGATGGCTTGGCATACGTAACACATGTCCTAACCATCTCAGTCTTTGTAACTTCACGACTTCGTCGATTGATTTCCCCTGTTTACCTAGAACTCTACGCCTAACCTCCATGTTGCTCACCTTATTATGCCACTTTACACGGGAAATAGAACGCAGGCACCTAAGATCAAAGACAGCTAGTCTTTTCATGTCTTCCACTCTCAGTGGCCAGGTCTCACAACCATACAGGAGGACGGAGCGGACTGATGAGCAGTACACCCGCCCTTTGGTCGATAGTCGAACATCTCGTCTACGCCAGAGTCGGCGTAAACTAACAAATGCGAAACGAGCCCCTTGTATTCGTGCTGAGATTTCGTCAGAGATCAACCCGTTGACACTGGCTGATGGTACTTCCCAAATAAGTGAAGCGGTCAACGTGCTCTACCACTTCACTTCCTATTTTTAAACTAGGCGTCGATGTAGTCCAGTCCTGTAACATCATCTTGCATTTGGCGGGAGCGAATAGCATGCCAAACATTCGTAGATTGCGGCTCAAGGTGTTTAGAAGACTCTGCATTTCGTCAGCGTCTTCGCCTAGAAGGACTATATCGTCTGCATATTCCAAGTCAACGAGATTATTCCCCGGTAGCAAGTTAATTCCTGAGTCACTGAAGTCACCTAGGGTTAAGTCCATTAACACATCTATGATGAAGTTGAATAGAAAAGGAGATAATGGGCATCCTTGACGGACACCACTGGTCGTCATCAGTTCAGATGACAGCTCGCCGTAAGCCCTTACCTGACTGTATGAGTACGAATAGAGTGCCTTAATCAGTGCAATATATTTTCTCGGAATTCCCTTTACAGCCAAGCATCTCCAGAGAACTTCCCGATCGACAGAGTCGAATGCTGCCTTTAGGTCAAGAAATATAACTGTTGGACGCCGGTAGGAATGCCTATGTTCTAGAATCTGTCGGAGGGTGAAGATATGATCAATACACCCTCTTCCTGGTCTAAAGCCTGCCTGGCTCTCTCGTGTTTGTGCTTCCCGAGCACCACTCAGTCTACGCATGATTATTGAGCCTAAGACTTTAGATACTATATTAGTCAAGCTAATCCCTCTGTGATTATCACAGGAAGACTTGTCTCCCTTCTTGCATATGGGGATAATCAGTGACTTACACCAACCCGATGGGACTTCTTCTGATTCCCAGACGCTGCCTAGTACCTCAGTTAATCCGGACAGTAAGCTGTCTCCACCGTACTTAAATACCTCTGGCGTCATTACTTAAAGGTCCCGCTGCTCGGATCAACTAAAGGATGACTTCGACGAGAATCTGTCCCAATTCACTGCAAAAAGCAAAACCTTCAGATATAGTTGTTTTAGCAGGCGACTTCAATGCCCAAGTAGGCAAGTTATACCAGAGGGAGAAGTATATAGGCGGTACATACGGAGTTCACTACCGACGAACCGACAACGGCGGTGATTGTCTTCTACACTTCTCTTCAGATAATCATCTGTTCCTAGTCACCACTAACTGTAGCCACAAACACAGACATTGTCTAACCTGGCGATGACTTCCATCACCAAATCAACATTGGACTCAAATAGACCACATAGCGATAAGGTATCGTTGGAGAGGGTCGGGTAGAAGACTACCACTACTTCTGGAACACGTGCGTAGACTCCGATCACGCCTTGGTTTGCGTACCTTTATGCGGTTAAACGGACATAAAAAATTGTTCGCAGCCAAGCAGTTACTTCCTCAACTAGATCGAGACACTCAGTCCATATTTCAGAAAGAAATAGCCAAACGAGTACCTGAGGTCGACAGAAGGACTCCTCCTGACGAAGCCTGGAACAACATACAGTTAGCTGTAGACACAGATGTCAAAGCTGTTAATAGCCTAAAACCTAAGGTCAGTAAGAGCCATTGGATTTCTACCACCTCATCCAAACGGACTGACTGACTGACTGACGCAAAAACGTCGATTCCGATGAGCTCCAAATATGATCAGGAGCAAAAGCTGCTGCTCACGCACAAACTAACAAGAAGTCTTCGCAACAACCGTGAACAGTGGTGTGCAACAAAAACCAAAGAGATGGAAAAGACTTCGACGATTGGTAACACAAGACAACTATTTAGACTTATCAGAGAAGCAGGTGGCAAAAGGCAAATCATACGTGGAACAATCTCTGAGGAAAATGACACCATAATTACCTCCCAAGACAGACGACTCGGATGTTGGAAAGAACACTTTGAGCAGGAATTTAGAGAATAAGTGTTTTCAATAAATTCTTTAGACTCTACAATTATAAATCCATTAATTTAAGCATACAATAGCCAGTCAGTAAAGGCAAGTTAGAATCATATCCGCTTATTTCATCTCTCGTTGGTATGAGCGGGACCACGGCTCTCCGTGACAGTGTGACAGTGGCCCTTTCCACTTCGGTAAGAGTTTCCACAAACATGGTCTGCATCCAACTGTATACTTTCTTCCTCTACACTTTACTTCATCGCCGACCTAGAGGCTTATGCATCCTATCTTTCCTCCCTGCTCAGATTTCAAGGCGTCTATCTTCTGTTTACGCTTTACATTCCTGACGGCTCCTTTCCGTTCCCTTCGCAACCACCTCGTCATATTCCACTCCTGGTAAACGGAACAAGTCGTACTGTGTATTGGCAGTCTTTGATTCCTACCAAACTTCAACTGAAATGATGACTTCTTTGTTGGTTCCTGGGTGGGTGGAAGCAGGTACATCCGGTTGGCGATTCCCGAACCGGACAAAATCCTAGTCACCATCCACCAAATTACATACTTAATTTTAAGTCCGGATAATCTTCTCCTCTATATACACTCACTACTCTGTAATTAACCTCATCCATCCTCTGTAGGATTATAACATTATCCTACCTGCGAATGAATCTTCAGAACACATTCATTCGATAAAACAAAAATATTATCTATCTTCAATCTGATTTCACCCTACTCACCGGTTGGTTGCGTAAAACTTTGTCATATGTAGAGCGGAAACAGGGGGAAACAAACCAGAACTTACAATTTCAATGTGGAGTCTGTTTGCCTCTTCATTCTTCACATTATCTCTCACTTCACATGACTCCGACTTGCTTCTTTTTCGGTAATTACCCGGTGTAATCCAGTCGTCGCCAAAAACTTTAGGCTTTGGCCTTCGCTTTCTCTTCTGTGTGCCACTTGACGAACTCACCTATAAGGAGAAAAACGAATCACAATCAAAGAAAACACAAACACATACATTTTACAACTGAATTCGCATGAAAATAACGAAAATAAAAGGATTAGAATATCATCTAAGTAGAGTAATGCAGCAGTTGAGTACATGATGAAAACTTATACGAAAGAGCTGATTGCCAGTCAATGAGCTTCAACACAAAACTTTGCACAGAAGTGGAACGGTTCAAGTTGACAAACTCCACGTAGTACACAAAGATAGACAAGCTAACCTAGACAGAGAAAACACTCTCAAAAGCAGAAATGTACGGGAGGAAGACTAGGAACATGGAGTTACTAGGGATTTAATCGGTGCATCAGAACATAACATCACTAAGAGTGCCTGCATCTGTGCCACTCACCACGATTTCCGACCATATCACCAACAATCTCCAACCACTACTTCTTAGCATTCCCAACACCCCCAACCAACCAGCCAGTCTACGTCTACACCTACGCCCTATCTGGCTCAAAACAGCTCTCAAGGACTTTATTGCTTGATTCCACATTTTCGTCTGGTCTAATTAACTCCTTTCCAACTCCAACTCCAACTCTACGTCAGCTAACACTGCTCGGATCAACTGTCTGTCTGTCTGTTTTCGACATAGAACTTTGCACAAATGTGCGGAAGTTCAAGTCGCCACATTCCGTGTAGCACGCGAAGCAAGAGAGGAAAGTACAAGAAAAGCATAATAGAAACAGTGAGCAGAGGTGTGAGACAAAGGAGTAATAAAGAAATACAAAACAGTTTCATTGAAGATCATAAGTCACAGGGAGTGGATGCATCTGCGCCACTGAGAACGATTTTGAGCCATGTCACCAATTGTTTCCAACCATAGATTTTTACCGTCCCGAGGACCCCAGCCTGGAAGTCTACACCTTTCTACGTGGCTGGCTTAGACCAACTGTTGTGGATTTCATTGACTGATGCCAAGTTTTTGTTTGACCTCCGCTAGCTTTTTTCCAGCCTGACCCTATATCCGCTAACATTGCTCGTCGAGGGAGGCGATGGCTTGGCATACGTAACACATGTCCTAACCATCTCAGTCTTTGTAACTTCACGACTTCGTCGATTGATTTCCCCTGTTTACCTAGAACTCTACGCCTAACCTCCATGTTGCTCACCTTATTATGCCACTTTACACGGGAAATAGAACGCAGGCACCTAAGATCAAAGACAGCTAGTCTTTTCATGTCTTCCACTCTCAGTGGCCAGGTCTCACAACCATACAGGAGGACGGAGCGGACTGATGAGCAGTACACCCGCCCTTTGGTCGATAGTCGAACATCTCGTCTACGCCAGAGTCGGCGTAAACTAACAAATGCGAAACGAGCCCCTTGTATTCGTGCTGAGATTTCGTCAGAGATCAACCCGTTGACACTGGCTGATGGTACTTCCCAAATAAGTGAAGCGGTCAACGTGCTCTACCACTTCACTTCCTATTTTTAAACTAGGCGTCGATGTAGTCCAGTCCTGTAACATCATCTTGCATTTGGCGGGAGCGAATAGCATGCCAAACATTCGTAGATTGCGGCTCAAGGTGTTTAGAAGACTCTGCATTTCGTCAGCGTCTTCGCCTAGAAGGACTATATCGTCTGCATATTCCAAGTCAACGAGATTATTCCCCGGTAGCAAGTTAATTCCTGAGTCACTGAAGTCACCTAGGGTTAAGTCCATTAACACATCTATGATGAAGTTGAATAGAAAAGGAGATAATGGGCATCCTTGACGGACACCACTGGTCGTCATCAGTTCAGATGACAGCTCGCCGTAAGCCCTTACCTGACTGTATGAGTACGAATAGAGTGCCTTAATCAGTGCAATATATTTTCTCGGAATTCCCTTTACAGCCAAGCATCTCCAGAGAACTTCCCGATCGACAGAGTCGAATGCTGCCTTTAGGTCAAGAAATATAACTGTTGGACGCCGGTAGGAATGCCTATGTTCTAGAATCTGTCGGAGGGTGAAGATATGATCAATACACCCTCTTCCTGGTCTAAAGCCTGCCTGGCTCTCTCGTGTTTGTGCTTCCCGAGCACCACTCAGTCTACGCATGATTATTGAGCCTAAGACTTTAGATACTATATTAGTCAAGCTAATCCCTCTGTGATTATCACAGGAAGACTTGTCTCCCTTCTTGCATATGGGGATAATCAGTGACTTACACCAACCCGATGGGACTTCTTCTGATTCCCAGACGCTGCCTAGTACCTCAGTTAATCCGGACAGTAAGCTGTCTCCACCGTACTTAAATACCTCTGGCGTCATTACTTAAAGGTCCCGCTGCTCGGATCAACTAAAGGATGACTTCGACGAGAATCTGTCCCAATTCACTGCAAAAAGCAAAACCTTCAGATATAGTTGTTTTAGCAGGCGACTTCAATGCCCAAGTAGGCAAGTTATACCAGAGGGAGAAGTATATAGGCGGTACATACGGAGTTCACTACCGACGAACCGACAACGGCGGTGATTGTCTTCTACACTTCTCTTCAGATAATCATCTGTTCCTAGTCACCACTAACTGTAGCCACAAACACAGACATTGTCTAACCTGGCGATGACTTCCATCACCAAATCAACATTGGACTCAAATAGACCACATAGCGATAAGGTATCGTTGGAGAGGGTCGGGTAGAAGACTACCACTACTTCTGGAACACGTGCGTAGACTCCGATCACGCCTTGGTTTGCGTACCTTTATGCGGTTAAACGGACATAAAAAATTGTTCGCAGCCAAGCAGTTACTTCCTCAACTAGATCGAGACACTCAGTCCATATTTCAGAAAGAAATAGCCAAACGAGTACCTGAGGTCGACAGAAGGACTCCTCCTGACGAAGCCTGGAACAACATACAGTTAGCTGTAGACACAGATGTCAAAGCTGTTAATAGCCTAAAACCTAAGGTCAGTAAGAGCCATTGGATTTCTACCACCTCATCCAAACGGACTGACTGACTGACTGACGCAAAAACGTCGATTCCGATGAGCTCCAAATATGATCAGGAGCAAAAGCTGCTGCTCACGCACAAACTAACAAGAAGTCTTCGCAACAACCGTGAACAGTGGTGTGCAACAAAAACCAAAGAGATGGAAAAGACTTCGACGATTGGTAACACAAGACAACTATTTAGACTTATCAGAGAAGCAGGTGGCAAAAGGCAAATCATACGTGGAACAATCTCTGAGGAAAATGACACCATAATTACCTCCCAAGACAGACGACTCGGATGTTGGAAAGAACACTTTGAGCAGGAATTTAGAGAATAAGTGTTTTCAATAAATTCTTTAGACTCTACAATTATAAATCCATTAATTTAAGCATACAATAGCCAGTCAGTAAAGGCAAGTTAGAATCATATCCGCTTATTTCATCTCTCGTTGGTATGAGCGGGACCACGGCTCTCCGTGACAGTGTGACAGTGGCCCTTTCCACTTCGGTAAGAGTTTCCACAAACATGGTCTGCATCCAACTGCATACTTTCTTCCTCTACACTTTACTTCATCGCCGACCTAGAGGCTTATGCATCCTATCTTTCCTCCCTGCTCAGATTTCAAGGCGTCTATCTTCTGTTTACGCTTTACATTCCTGACGGCTCCTTTCCGTTCCCTTCGCAACCACCTCGTCATATTCCACTCCTGGTAAACGGAACAAGTCGTACTGTGTATTGGCAGTCTTTGATTCCTACCAAACTTCAACTGAAATGATGACTTCTTTGTTGGTTCCTGGGTGGGTGGAAGCAGGTACATCCGGTTGGCGATTCCCGAACCGGACAAAATCCTAGTCACCATCCACCAAATTACATACTTAATTTTAAGTCCGGATAATCTTCTCCTCTATATACACTCACTACTCTGTAATTAACCTCATCCATCCTCTGTAGGATTATAACATTATCCTACCTGCGAATGAATCTTCAGAACACATTCATTCGATAAAACAAAAATATTATCTATCTTCAATCTGATTTCACCCTACTCACCGGTTGGTTGCGTAAAACTTTGTCATAGGTAGAGCGGAAACAGGGGGAAACAAACCAGAACTTACAATTTCAATGTGGAGTCTGTTTGCCTCTTCATTCTTCACATTATCTCTCACTTCACATGACTCCGACTTGCTTCTTTTTCGGTAATTACCCGGTGTAATCCAGTCGTCGCCAAAAACTTTAGGCTTTGGCCTTCGCTTTCTCTTCTCTGTACCATCTGACGAACTCACCTATAAGGAGAAAAACGAATCACAATCAAAGAAAACACAAACACATACATTTCGCAACTGAATTCCCGTGGAAATATAATAATTTGAAGAAGGAATTATTTTATCATTTTTGGAAGTGCTTCGTCTTCAACTACATGTTTTTTTAAAATTTTGTTCTTACCTCCACTTCATCATTAGCTATAAGTTATGATTGTCTAAATTCGTTGGTATTCTTCAAGAACCCCTTATATGTAATCAACCTGTGCACACGCTTGTTTCCTACTTATTCTTGAGTTTGCGAAAATTATTCATTACGTAATCTATGTGTTGCAGGCATTTCTACATTGGAACTCTATGCATTTATTCACTTCGTTAATTTTCACCCCATTGGCATGTTGATACTGCCTAATGATTGTAAACAAACATATCAGTGCCACTTGATTGGTAAGTTGTTGTGTATTGTAATAAAGATGCTATACGTGCATATCAGAGTACAGCCAGACATGAGTATCTAATTGAATAGTAATTATTTCTTCGCTCAATCCTTCTGCTTTCTAAACATATTATTTGGCAGAGTCCAGTCAGGCTGGTATAAGTCATTTATTATCCAGATATACAAGAAGGGAGACAAGTCTTCCTGTGATAATCACAGGGGGATTAGCTTGACTAATATGCTGGTATCTAAAGGTCTAGGCTCAATAATAAAGCGTACACTACTAAGCGGTGCTCGCGAGGCACAAACACGAGAGGAACGGGATGGGTTTAGACCAGGAAGAGGGTGTATTGATCATAGCTTCACCCCCGACAGACTCTTGAACAGAACATAGGCATGCTTACCAGCATCCAACAATCGGCATATTTCTTGACCTGAAATCACCATTCGACTCCGTTGACCAAGAGGTATCATGCCAATGTTTGACTGTGAAAGAAATACTGAGAAAATACACCGCAATGGTCAAGGCACTCTACTCGAACTCATGCAGTCGTCAGCCAGGTAAGAGCCTATGGAGTGGGGACCGATCTCCCCTTGCAGGAAAGTGACATCAAAATTCAACTCAAAACGAGGGATGGAAGGTTACAATCATTCAATGTTACTCACAGTGATACAAACAAATCGGAACAAGAGAAGAAGGAAGGCGTCTATAGACAACTGCAAACAGTAATGGACAACATCCTAAATCGTGACATTAAAATCCTTATGAGAGATATGAATACAAGCCAAACTGGGAACAGACAATACGGCACCAGAACTCATCAGGGGTCGACAGGATCTCCCTAGGCGAAATAAGTGACAATGCAGAACTATTAACAGACTTCTTAAACTTAAATGATTTGATGTTCAGAGGAAGTGTGTACAAACACAAGGATATACACAAGGCGACAGGGATTTCGCCTGACGGACACATCACAAACCAAATAGATTTCATCACAATGGTGCTAGGGGAAGTGGGGATGCAGCCAACTGTGTACAAAGACGAGAAGGGGACAGAACAGATGTGGACTCAGACCACCATCTATTTCAAGGAACCTTCAGGCTCAAGGTTGAAGTACTTCAGAACAACTGCAGGTAGACCACAATTCAAGTTCAACATTCAGAAACTGAAGGACGAAACTACAAGGGATACCTCCCCTACAGATTCGACCAGAACAAAGTCGGAGATACCTGAAGGCATTACTGAAGAAACCTAAATGGAAGAACATTGAGACTCCCAGACCGAAAGCTGCTACCTTGAAGTGGTGGTCGGGCTTGAACACTGCAATGACCTAATCAGGCTATACTAGCTGAGACTTATGTCTCTTGAGGTCCTACCATGCCAGAAAGGTTGTTTGGAAAGCGGTTAGACAAAAAGCAGCTACCCAACCCAACATCATGACCAATGCAAAATCACAAAATATCATCCCAGATCGGCCGGGGCTCGGATTAACAACGACCACGCTTCCTGCTGTCGTGTCACAGGGCAGGAGTGATAAGTATGCTACTGAGACACACAAAACAATAAAGAACGAACAAAAACAGGCCGCGTGTGACCGGCCTCAAGCAGTTGTCCCCTGGGCTCTGCGGTCACGCAACCCACTTCTACGGTGTGGGCAACAGGGGAAGTAACAATCTTCCTCACAATCCGAAATGCACACGAAACCTCTCTAATCCTCACTCATCTTTGTCTTCATCTTCATCTCTATTATCTTGCCTTCCTTCTACTTGATGGCTCTTCACTTCCTCTCCACTCTGTGTCTACTAAAAACGACGGAAGCCAAAAAACAACCACCGATAGTCTCCTAAAGCCACGCCACCAATTTCATATAGGAGCATTTATTGTTAGGACACTTTGCCAAATAGGACAACAAGCATCACTAGCCAAGACCCTGCCATCCCGAGCCATTGATGTATGTTGCCTTTCGGAAACACGCATACAAGACCCAAGTGTGGTTATTCACCTAACCCAAACCTGGTCAACAGGTTGAATCTGCAAAATTCACCTTGAGGGTGTCAGGAGATGCCACAGATAGTTCACGAGTATTAGTTGGCGTAGGGATAGCTTTGAGTACTAGGGCAGAAAAGACATTACTTGACTGGATCCCGGTAGATAGCCGAATGTATGCTGTCCGTCTGAACTGATCAGTAAAAAGGAGAAAGGACTACACTACTCGCCGATGCCTTTTCGTAATCTCCGCCTACGCCCCCACTGACTGCAGTTCGGATGAAACGAAGGATGAGTTCTACCAAAAGCTGTCTAGTTTGCTGCGAAAGGCTAAACGTTCAGATATAGTCGTTCTAGCTGGTGACTTTAATGCTCAAGTAGGGAAATTGTGTCAATCTGAGAAGGATGTCGGTGGCACCTATGGAGTCCCATGCCAGCGAACCGACAACGGTGACCGTCTCCTACAGTTCTGTTCAGATAATCATTTGTTTCTTGTAAGCACTAACTTTAAACACAAGGAGAGACACTGTTTGACCTGGCGACCCCCTTCATCAAACCAACACTGGACACAAACAGACTACATAACAATAAGCTATCGTTGGCGTGGGTCGGTAGGAGATTGTCGCTCCTTCTGGAACACGTGTGCAGATACCGATCACGCACTGGTCCGCGCTCGTGTGTGCCTACGACTAAACGGACGTAGGAAACACCCGGCAGTAAACTCATCACGTCCCCAGCTCGATCAGGAAACTAAATCCCTATTCGAGGAAGAACTACCTAAACATATATCTGAATTCAATAGCTGTGCTCACCCTGAAGAAGCCTGGAAGAATTTAATTTTAATTTTTTTTTAATTTTTGATTGCAGCTTGATTCCACACTGTATTTTTTGGTACAAGTATGGAATTTTCAGCGTGGATATCGGTAGCCCAAATTTCGCAGGCCGACCATAGATATCAGGTGTGCGCCGGCGTGGGCTCGAACCCCGGACCATGTGCATGTTCGGTGAGAGTCCTAACCACTGTGCCACCGACGCACAGCCATAGATACAGATGTAAAGCTGTGAATAAGGTAAATCCAAAGGTGAGTGGATCTTTACCGCCTCATCTGAACTGATAGATGCTAGAAGGCTTATTCCGGCGAGCTCCGAATTCAATGAGGAGCGAAAGCTGCACAAAAGGAAACTTACGAAAAGTCACCGCAAGGACCGTGAACAGTGGTGGCTGACAAAGGCGAAAGAGATGGAAATAGTATGAGCGATAGGCACCACTAGGCAACTCTTTAGACTCATCAGGGAAATGGGTGGGAGAAGGCAAATCATATGTGAAACAATCTCGGAGAAAAATGGCACCATAATTAGCTCCCAGGATAGACGATTGGAACGCTGGAAGGAGCACTATGAGGAGCAGTTTATTTGGCCCACAACCACGCTCAACCTGACGAACATCCAATACCTCCCTGAATGGGATATAGACACAGGTCCTCCGTCCCTAACTGAGGTTACTAAAGCTGTCACTAATCTGAAACAAGGCAAAGCAGTGGGACCTGATGGAATGACTCCAGAGGTATTTAAGTACGGTGGAGACAGTTTACTGTCTGCATTAACTCGGGTACTAGGAAGCGTCTGGGAATCAGAAGAAGTCCCATCTGGTTGGTGTAAGTCACTGATTATCCCCATATACAAGAAGGGAGACAAGTCTTCCTGTGATAATCACAGAGGAATTAGATTGACTAATATGGTAGGTATCTAAAGTCCTAGGCTCAATAATCATGAGTAAACTAAGTGGTGCTCGGGAGGCACAAACACGAGAGAGCCAGGCAGGCGTTAGACCAGGTAGAGGGTGCATAGATCATATCTTCACTCTCCGACACATTCTAGAACATAGACACACTTTTCGGCGTGCGACAATCGCCATATTTCTTGAAGTGAAGGCGGCCTTCGACTCCGTGGATCGAAAGCTACTATGGCAATGTTTGACTGTGAAGGGAGTGCCAAGAAAGTACATTGCACTAATCAAGGCACTCTATTCAAACTCACGTAGTCGTGTAAGGGCTTATGGGGAATTGTCATCTGAATTGATAACAACCAGTGGTGTCCGACAGGGATGTCCACTCTCCCTATTTCTGTTTAACTTCATCATAGATATGCTAATGGAAGTATCCTTAACTGAACGTAACGACTTAGGAATTGACTTGTTACCAGGGAATAGTTTAATGGACTTAGAATATGCAGATGACATAGTCCTGTTAGGGGAGGATTCTGACAAAATCCAGCAGAGTCTTCTGAACACCTTGAGCAGCAATCTTCGTATGTTTGGCATGCGATTCGCCCCTGCAGAAGGTAAGATGCTGCTACAGGACTGGACCACGTCAACTCCTAACTTAGTGATAGGGAGTGAAGTGATAGAACATGTTGACCACTTCACCTATTTGGGAAGTTGTATCAGCACCAACGGACTGATTGGCGACGAAATCTCAGCACGGATCCAAAAAGCTCGAGCTGCTTTCGCTGACTTACACCACCTCTGGCGTAGGCGTGACATCCGGCTATCAACCAAGGGACGTGTGTACTGCTCAGCAGTTTGCTCCGTCCTTCTCTATGGCTCTGAAACATGGCCAATACGAGTTGAAGACATGAAAAGGTTGACTGCTTTCGATC